CCACAACAAGCCAAGCCCACCTTGAGTCTGCCCATGAGATGCTGATAAGCGGGAATGCGGGGCACGTTTCAGAGTGATACATTGGAAGGGGCACAAGTGAATTTTGCGGTTCACCCCTTCCTTACCTTTCTACAGGTAACAACCTGACTGGGGAGATGGATCCCATGCCCGCTGGACAACAGGTGGCATGCCAGTAACTGGGCGAGGCTGGCACGCTGACCTGTGATCTGTGACTTGGAGCAGGGGCAGGGCAGGGTGACCCCTTTAGGGGTCTTGAGTGGCCAGCTAAGGGATTTACACCTTTATTTAAAAGCAAAAGTTTTAAGCAAAGGAAGAACATCCACAAAACGTGATCTTGGGCGACTAATCTGGTCTGTGTAAGAAACATTGGAAGGAAAAAACTGAGCATGAGGACTTCCCATTTCTTGAGGTCCAGCCTTCTCTTGTTTTTTGGTAGCAAATCAATATGCTTGCCTTACAGCATAATATTTTAATCCAACTCATACAACACCTTTGCGTAAGCAAATGCTGTGACCTTTCGTGTTTATCTGCTATTTGTTCCCCAGTCCCTGTTTTATTCTCAAAGAGCCCTGACACACACATAAAACACATGCCTGTAGTTACCATGGGGATTATCTACGCAGCACATGTCATGCACAAGTAATTCCCACCAGGAAATGCCACAGTTTATGGTAGGTCTTCCTGCCCTACTCACAATCACACTTTTTCACTGGTGACCAGAATTTCCGACACTCACTCCAGAAGGAACACACTTCTAATCTGAAAAGAACATCACAGTCTCTTGGCCTGGCTGACCACCTTGACTGTGTTCGGTCTTCAACAAGTACTGGCTATACTTTTCTAATGAGGACTTCTCTTTATGTGAAGCAGATATGCTAGTGGGCGCTAAGAGAAGAGCCTCTACCAGAGAAAAGAATGCAATTCAATTTACCTGAAATTCCTTTCAGGCATCCGGAAAGAAATAGCCAATTGCCCACATTGCTCATCTGAACGATCAAAGGCAGGGAGAAAAGAGCACCCACGGACCAGGAGGAAGCCAGTGGAGGACAAGGCAGCTTGTAATGGGGGGCCAGTGCCATTCTTTCCCACCATATAAGAGTGCCAGAGGGGGTGAAGGGTGGAGTGGCCCTTTCAGCACACCATGTGGTCTATATTTTATCATCCGCCACAGGCAGTGCCACCTGCATGGCTTTCATGGAAGGCACCAGAGTAATACCATGACCACAGATTGTCACTCTGGAGTGCCACACAAACGTGACCCCAGAGCCAGCCCCTCAATATGACAACATTCAACTCAATGTTCCACACCATGCACAATCCAAATTCTTCATTTTTTGGTTACAGCGTTGTGACAGTCAGACTCCACATATTTTCAGAGAATCAGGACAGAGAGAGAGCTCAGATTACAACTATTATTTGTTTGTTTGTTTTCTGAGACAGAGTCTTGCTCTGTTGCTAGGCTGGAGTGCAGGGGCACCATCTCAGCTCACTGCAGCCTCCACCTCCTGGGTTCAAGCAATCCTTCCACCTCAGCCTCCCGAGCAGCTGGGACTACAGGTGTACATCACCACACCTGGCTAATTTTTGTATTTTTAGTAGAGACGGGGTTTCACCATGTTGACCAGGCTAGTCTTGAACTCCTGACCTCAAGTGATCCACCCACCTAGGCCTTGCAAAGTCCTGGGATTCCAGGTGTGAGCCACTGTGCCCAGCCACTTCTATTGTTTTTTAAGGAATTCTTAAAGGCTGAAAAGAGACATTTTAACATATGCCCCAGGTACTATTCTCTACAGTCCCCAATGCCACAGGAAAAAAAAAAAAAAAAAAAAAACACAGAAAAAGAGGTAAGGACCTCTTGCCGGCTGGAAGTTCCTGACATGCCCCAGGACCACATTTTCCTATATAAATAACATGACAAAACTGCAGTTAAGTTCCAAGGCAGCTCACAAAAAGCAATTTAGCCCACCTCGCTCCCAAAGTAGGACCAGGCACTCCGGAGCCACCCACCAGCCAGCAGGGCCAGTGATAGCTCAGGGCGTCCATGCTGGCTTCAAGGGAAAATGGGTCCTGTGGGGCCACGATCCTGTAGAAGGTTTAAAATCAGGGACAAATGCAGAAAAAAAGCAAGGAGTGAAATAATTTCTTATAACAATAGCAGATGGAAAACACTTTCCAACTCCTCCTTTCAAGGAGTAAGGAAAGGTGACCTGTGCTGGGCTGGCTCGATGAAGCAGGCAGCCATGCTGAGAAAGGCCCCACGACCACCAACTGCAGGGGGCTTCTGGGAGATGCAGGCAGCCGCCAGGAACTGCGAGTGGCCTCTGCGAGCTGAGAGTAGCCTCCGTGTCAGCAAAAAAGAGGCCAGGACTCAGTCCTACAACTAGAGAACATGAATCCAGCCAACAACCTGAGGGAAGGTGGAGGAGGATATTTCTCCAGTCAAGCCTCCAGATGAAAACCAAGCCCGGGCCAGCATCCAGACAGCAGCCCTGTGAGACCCCAAGCACAGGCCCCAGGGAGGCCCTGACTCCTGCTCTGATTCCTAGCCCACAGGAACGTTGAGAAAATAAGCTGTGTGTTATTTTAAGCTGGAGAAAGAGATGACTAATACGTAGTCCAAACGCTCTTGCGTGATAATGGGTGCACTGGTGTTCACTGGCTTACTGAGTCCTTGGGGAGCTGAGACCAGAGCAGCAACCTTTCTTTAATACATTGCTTCAATGGTGGGGATAACCATGACTTTCCCTGAGGCTATTTTGGAAGGCTGAATTATTTGAAAGTAATTTTCTCCTCCTGGAAAATGGCATACATTAAATACCTGTTATTTCCTTTTTGAAAAATTAGGTGATCTGCCTTGGGCCATGGTTATAGGGAGTTATGGGGGCCATAAAGATGAGACCACATACTGTCCCTGCCCTCAGAGTGCAGAGTCTGGAAAGAAGCAAGCAAGTAACCATTCGCAACGATCCATCCAACAACTACCTACGATACACCTATTATGTGTCCTCCCTCCTTGCAGAGACTGAGGCAGCAGCAGGGAACAGAACAGAAGGGAGAAGACGGAATGTGATAAACAACAAGCGTGGCCAAGACTGAAAGGCCTCTAGGAGATGTGCCACCTACGTTACCATGTGGCACCTGGCCTGATTCTCCTCAACAGGAAAAGATGACATCATGGCGGTGCCCAGTAAGCCATAAACTCTCCTGATTCGGAGAGGGCTCGGGACTTGTGCCCCAAGACCACCCAAGGGCTTCCCCTCACACCTCAATACTGCACCGCGCAGCCCAAGAAGTGAAAGAGTCTGACTTAGGCTATTCACTCAGATGTCAACGCCCAGCCCCAGGGTTAGGTAACACCAGAAGATGTTCTAAAATAGTCCGTGAAGGCAGCAGAAACACATCTCACTGGGGCGACGGGAGGAAGAATGCAGAATGAACTCACTCTAATTTCAGTTATTTTACTAATTAAGCACCTAAACTGAACAGGAAAGAAAAGGGTGCTCAAGACTCACACACCCCAGCACACAGTGGCTTCTGGCCTGTGCAGAATGTCCTCCCACTTCCCTGCTAGCCAGCAACTAATTTTACCTACTGCCTTTGGGAAGGTGCACCTGGTAATTCTGCACCTTTGTTTCTGACATTTACAAGGCTGTAGCAGCCCCATAAACAAGGTGCTTACTTATAGCCTAATCCTCCCCAGGAACTTGAGGCTCATGGGCAGCCCCTCCTTCCTCCTGAATTCTCATTTCAAGGCAGTGTACTCAAAGTTGCTTACATGTGGCAAAGGTCACTGGCTATATTCCCCAGAAGTCCTTCTGATTAAGAACTCAGTGTGGGCTGCTGAGTCTGAGTATGTGTGCATTCCTAATATAGCCAAAGTCTTGGAATTAACTATATGAATGGCCTCAAATGACTGTTAAGAATGTGAGAAGGTGGGAAAGAAGTCAGGTGAGGTTCATTACACACGCGCACACACGCACGCACACACACTTTCCCTCAACTGAAAAGCTTTACCTCTATTTTTTTGTGATAAAACAGCAACAATAATGATGAAGCTTCCGTTCTCAGTAAACATTTTTATTTTAGTAAAAAAATAACCAAGCAGTTTGAAGTATTTTATAGCAGAAATCTTTTTCCCAAACTACATCCTATGCCAAACCCAAATAGAAGAATCAGATAAAAATGAAGCTACTCGTAGTTAAAGACAGACAGGGGACAGAGCGCCTCACTGGCCAGCCTTGACCGACCCCCTGACCCACCTGGCTCTTATGCCCACTTGGAATTAACTCTCAAGCTGCAAAGAACACCCTGAAATACCACTGCCCTATAGCAGATGGTTACAGCACCCAAACCAAGAACAAGTTACAGTAGCATTCCTAAGTGAAAGGGAGAGCAGTTAAAGTAAGGAGGAGAGTGAGAAGAATGGGGGCAAGATGAAAAGTTCTGGGGCAGGAAGAAAACTGGAAGCTGCCATTGACCTTGAGAAGTGCAAAGGCTCCAGAAGTCACAGACAGAAACATGGCGGGATGGATCACAGCCGCTGTGCTGCACGCCAGTGCCCAGGAGCCGGGTGGCACAGAGCACAAGACAAAGCGCCCAGTGTCCGCGCCAGGAATGATGTGGGACAGCTCCAGGATGATCCTTCCCCAGAGCCTGCCCTGGTGACCAAGCCTCAGGGACGGAAGGCCTGGCCAGCCGTGGGATAAGAAGCCATAGGATAGGACTAAAGGAAATGCAGGAATTTAAGGAACGTACTAAAGTGAAAAAATGGGCTTGTTTTCTACTGGGTCAATGGGTAGCCACATGAGTCTGAAAAGTGTAGCAGCTGGGAATCTAAAACAGAAGACAACCAGGGGTTTTAGTTGTCAGTTAACTTAAAACGTCAACAGACAACTAGGAGTCTAAATGAATAACAGTCTAGCACAAAACAGAACAACATATTCTAGCATGCTGCTGTCATGCTGACAGGCAGACTATACCTGGACTATGACACGAGGCCTCGACAGCTTCTCACCAGAGGACAGTCTCGATCTTGCAGCAAAGATGTCTCAGGAGAGATACAAGGAAGGTTCTGGGATCCTGAAAGGCAAGGAGGAACCATCAGATATGTTCAGTTTTGACCCCAGGATGTCCAAGTCTGTGGCTGGTACAGGGAAAACAGATTCAGCTCAGCCCTGGAGCAGGGAGCACATGCCACCTTAACAGCAACTGAAGACAGGGTGGACGGCAAAGGGGCCGCCCCACAGGACATCATGGGGGAATTCAGGGAGAAGATGAGGAGCCAGGCTAGATGCCCTCCACACCAGAGATTCCACCACTTTATCTCTGAAATTAACTCTTACATTTCAAAGAGGAAGATATAAAAGCATCACACGGGTAATCTCCTTCCACAAATCTAGGGCATGGCTGTAGACATGCAAAAGCTCTGAGGCCCCGGTTAGGGGCCACAAAGGGGAGTGAGTCCCCTCCTGACACCGGTAGTGACCAGCAAGGTCAGCAGGGGCAGAAAACCTTAGCTGGTGCCTTCTGGAAATACCTGGACTCGAATTTGTACAATCGGCCATCTGGTGATGGAGTTCTATGGGTACTACTAACAGATGCCATGGTAGCACAGAGCAGACGCCTGCCGATAACACCAAGAATCTCAGCATGGGCAGAAGGTTATCCTAAATCTGGGATGCAGGACTTTTGTTACCTTAGAGTGGAATCGTGCTGGCCAGTGCCTGGGAGTGCCTGGTGTGAATACAGCTCGAGGACACGCTAGGAAGAACCTAGCAGACGCACGGCATATAAAGCTCTTTGTTTTCTAAATCTTACCATTTACATTCTGCACAGTTTCTTGCACTCACCCAGGAGCTGAAGAGGTTTAATTAAGCTGTCTGAAATATGATTTGCACCTAATATGAACCCAGGCAAGATTATCATTATACCAAAAATGCACATAAAGATGCTAATCAACAGCTAGAGTTTTATAACTTAGCAGCAAACCAGGTTTCCCACAATTGGGATCTTATTCTGTTCCCACCTACATCATCTTTCATACTTTGATATTTCATCCTACATTGATATTTAATTCCTTTTCACTTTCTGTGTTGAAAATGTCAAACCTACAGAAGTTGAATGAATAGTTACTCTTTATCTACACTTCCCAATATTTAACATTTTGCCCAATTTGCTTTATCCCTCTTTAGCCCAATACATGCTTTCCTCATGACCATTGTGATAAGGTATAGCCATCTTGACAGCTGATCTCTAAATATGTTGGTAATTAACTGCTAAGAATGACATTGTCTTACCAAACTAATGCCGTGATCACACCAAAGGAACTGAACATTAATTCAATAGTATTTAAAACACAGGCCACAATCAAATGTCCTTAATTGTCAATTGTTGCTATTTCTTGATGCTCTATCACATACCATGAGAGCGCTGAGAACAATGAAGGTTGATAAAGTCAGGTTCACAGCTCAGCAGGGACACAGTATCCTGGTGCCCCACTGCAGGATGGGTGCCATACACCCTACCCTCTGTCGGGGCAGGAAATAAAGTAGTTGGACACCAGGAAAAGCTTTGGCAATGAAGTGATGTTTGGAGGATGAGCTTACCACTCAGAGAAGCAGGGAAGAAAGGAAGCATTCCAGGAATCAGGCATTGACTGCAAAAATGCAGATGCGACAATGGCCCCCAAAGATGTCCACATCCTAATCCCAGGGAACTGTAACATGTCAAGTTACAAGGCCAGCAGAATTCAGATACAGAGGGATGAGGGGTGGGCCCGCAGTGATCACAAGGGTCCTTACCAGATGGAAGAGAGTATAGCAGAGTCAGTGGTGGGGAGACACCATGTGAGGTGGCGCCATCAGCCCTGCTGGCTTTGACTACAACAAGGGACCACCAGCCAGGGAATGCAGGCAGCCTCAAGGAGCGGGGAGAGGCAAGAAACGGGTCCTCCCCTCCCCTTCTCTCCCCTGCAGCCCCCAGATGGGTGTGCCTCCCTGCAGCCCATATCTTGAATTGAGCCCACTCTGGACTTCCCAACCTGTAGAACTGTAAGATAATCCATTTATGTTGTTTTAACCCACTAAAAAAATAATGTAGAGGTTTGAGAAAAGAATGGAAATGGCAAGTGTTGGGGGCTGGGGTCAAAGTCATCTGAGTCCTTGTGGCTAAGACAAGGAAACTAGACTTTATTTTTGAGGAGAGGGAGGGTGGCCATGACTGGGATTCGCAGTTTAGAAAGTTAACTCCTGGAAACCATCATTCTCAGCAAACTGACACAGGAACAGAAAATCAAATACCACATGTTCTCACTCATAGGCGGGTGTTGAACAATGAGAACACATGGACACAGGGAGGGGGGCATGATACACTGGGGTCTGTGGTGGGGGGATCTAGGGGAGGGACAGTAGGGGGTGGGGAGTTGGGGAGGGACAACATGGGGAGAAATGCCAGATATAGGTGATAGGAAAGCAGCAAACCACGTTGCCATGTATGTACCTATGCAACAATCTTGCATGTTCTTCACATGTACCCCAAAACCTAAAACGCAATAAAATATATATATATTAAAAAAAAAAAAGAAAGTTAACTCTAGGAAAAAAAGAGGCAGGATCTAGAAGGGAAACAACTGACAACGTGTGCTGCAAGCAATAACATTTGAGCTTTCAAGAAAAAAATGGGAATTCCAGAAAACTTTTATTCGTCACCAAGATGCGGACAGCTCCCTAAAATCTGAATTTTCTGATGATACTGGGGATGACGTAAAAAAAATGTGCAATTTAAAAAATATATGATGAAATGTGCCAGCATTTGGAAGACCTACATAACTCAGTAAAACAGTAATTCAGTAAAACAGAACCATAAATGCATAAAAGACTGATTTGAAGTGTAAGAACCATGTATTTTAGAGTATAAAGTGCTTACTGAACTGGCTTCAAATTCCACAGTGGAACCACTATTGCCTGCGGAGTTTTAATGTAGTATCAAGAAAGAATATCCACAATTACCTGAAAAGGCCATTAAAGCATTCTTCCTTTTCTAGGTACAGTCCTGTGAAGCCATATTTTCTTTGTCTACTTCCACTAAAACAAAACGTCCAAACTGACTGAATGCAGAAGCACATATATGCATCCAGCTGCCTTAAATTAAGCTAAACATCCAAGCGGTTTGTAAATATGTAAAACAACGCCACTCTTCTCACTGAATTTTTTTGTTCTGGAAAAGTTATTTTTCATTAAAAAAAAGTTACTGAACACAAAATGGGTTCATTATTGTTATTTTAGGTAGATTAAGACATTTATTTCAAGTTGTTCTAAATTTTAATTTCTTTCGTTTTCTTCTTTCAAGACAGGGTCTCACTCTGTCACTCAGGTAGCAGAATGCAGTGGTATGATCTCAGCTCACTGCTGCCTCAACCTCCCTGGACTCAGGTGATCCTCCCACATCAGCCTCCCAAATAGCTGGGACTACAGGTGTGCACCACCAAGCCTGGCTAATTTTTGTATTTTTCGTAGAAACAGGGTTTCGCCACATTGCCCAGGTTGGTTTCAAATTCCTAATCTCAAGCAATCGAACTGCCTCAGCCTCCCAAAGTGCTGGGATTATGTGTGCCACTGCACCCAGCCTAAATTTTAATTTCCAATTCATAAATATTGATAGACACAACCCACATAAGCAAAGCTCCTTGGAGTCCTCAATACTCTTTAAGGGTGTCAGAGGGGTTCCAGATCAAACAGTTTGAGAACCACTGCTTGAAAATTTGCCCAGTGAAATGAATACAGCCAAGCTTAATATATGCTCAACAGGAAGAATGCTGCTCTCCTGCTTCTTAGGCATGAATTCAGCAGCCTGCTGCAGTGATGCTTGCTCCTGTCATGGTATAAAAGCAGTTAATGCTAAACTTGAAAGTCTAAAGGAAGGCATGCCATATGTTAAGCCAGGATGAATTCATCAGGATTAATGGGGCTGGAATGCACAGCAAATAAATTCATTAGCACTGCTTTTCTTTAATCCAAGAATGTTCCAACCAATTAATTATAATTTTGAGATTTGAAAATTCCTTTGTTAAAAGCAGAGTAAGGCGGTGCTACACCTCAGATGGAAACAGTCCATTTGCTTCATAAATACAGCAAGCAGCATTCCAGCACTACCCTTGATGGGCTTCCAGGAGTACATGGAGACGGTAAAAGTGTGATTGTGATGCCATGTGGCTATATTACAGTCATATGTCACTTAACGACAGGGATGTGTTCTGAGAAATGTGTCTTCAGGCGATTCCATCCTTGTGTGAACATCCTGAAGTGTACTTAGAGTGTACCGGCAGGAGTCTAGGTGGGATAGCCTACTGCACACCTAGGCTGCATGGTATAGCCTTGGCTTCTAGGCTACAAACCCGTACAGCATGTTACTGTACTCAATACTGCCGGCAACAGTAACACAGTGGTAAGTATCTGTGAATGGAAACATAAAGAAGGGACAGCGAGAATAAGATACAAAAGATAAAAACTGGTGCAACCTTATAGGGAGGGCACTTCCCATGAATGAAGCCTGCGGGGCTGGACATTACCCTGAGACTCAATGAGTGGGGAGCGAGCATGGTGGGGGGCGTGGGAGGTTGGGGATGGAGAGAACATGAAGGAGGGGTGAGCGAGTGTCAGTGGGTGGGGAGTGAATGTGAAGGCCTAGGACAGGACTGCACACTGCTGTAGACTTCAGGAACACTGTACATGAAACTACGCTAAGTGTGTAAAAAATACTTTTCCTTCTCCAATAATAAATTAAACTTAGCTTACTGTAATGTTTTTACTTTTTTTTATAGCTCTTTTACTTTTTCATAATAACACAGCTTAAAACACAAACATTACACAAAAGCATAAAAATATTTTTTGGCCTTATTCTGTAAGCTTTTTCAACTCTTTTGTTAAAAACCAAGACACAGACAAACATACACATTAGCTTAGGCCTACACAGAGCCAAGATGATCAATGTCACCGCGTCCCACCTCTGTGTTCTGTCCCACTGGAAGGTCTTCAGAGGACAGGAACACACAAGGAGCTGTCGTCTCCAGTGCTAACAATGCC